GGTCCCCTGGCTTGCAGGACCCACAATTAGATGTAGATCCAGCAGAGCCTCCAACAGCTATAACAGCTATTGGGGGACACTCCCTGCTCAGCCAATGGCTCCCATAATTGTTTCTAACCTCCAGTTTATCAACAGAGCCATTAGCTTCAATAGGTATCTTCGACTTCGTCCATATGTTGATGGAGTTGGTTCTGATAAAAGGAAGTTGGATTCCATGAGGTTCCCCCCATGAAGGAAGACTGAGAACTGTCAAGACTGGTTTGACGGGCAAAATTCGTTGTCGCTTTAGAGGAAGGCTTTTCCTGTGCTTCTCCTCCTTCTTGATGTTCTTCATCTTGCCAGAAATCTGCCAAACTTTGATTGTCGCTGTCATCACTGCTGGTACCCTGATGATGATGATGCTTGCTGGTGGCAGCGGCATGGAGACTATTCAATTGGGTTCTGTTCTGGTTGGTGGATACAGGAGGAGTGAGAAAGGATGCCAGACCACCACCACCATGGTGACTGCTGCTTTCGGAAGATTGCAAAGAGTCATCTCCACTGGACAGGCCTCGAGCCGCTTCAAAGTATAGCGAGGAAGGGTACTTGAGCCCACTCGACGTTCTCTTTGGAGTTTCAAAGGAAGCCAGTTGATCCTTTAACGAGGAAAGACCGGCAGAACTGATACGACCGCCACCACCACTCCTCGAAGAACTGCGTCCTCTTATGGGTGGAGCTGCATTCTTGGAGTGACTGGAACTGTCCAACCGTTGCCGCGAAACACTACGACCTCTGCGTCGTGCTTCCGACAAGGCAAGATGACTGGAACTTTGCGAGAGAGTATTGGCATTATTGTCTATAGTAGGGCTGCTGCTGCCGACAGCAGTCGACGCTCGCTGCCGCGATCTCGAACGGCTTCGACGAGCATGCTCTGCCAGCACTCTCTTGCTACTACCCAGCTCCGCTTCGTCCTCGCTAGAGGGATGCCTTCCATAGGGACGACGGCTTGGACTGCTCATGGTCCATGGAAGGTCCAATTGATGATGATTGAGTAGGCAGGTTGTGGGTGTGGGGGTCTGCGTTTTGCATTATGGAAAAGAGCAAAGGAAAAGAATAACTAAGTCCATTAAAATTGCCTTCGTTATTGCTTGCAGTCTCAAGAGACTTAAGTAAGACACCTCACAATTCCAATTTTCAAAACGATTTCTCACAATTCCATTTTTCAAAATGATTTCTCACAATTCGAATTTTCCAAATGATTCCTCACAATTACAATTTTGGATTTCCGATTTCTCACAATTCCAATTTTCGAAACGATTTCTCACAATTCCAATTTTCAAAATGATTTCTCACAATTCCAATTTTCAAAACCATTCCTCACAATTCCAATTTTCAAAACGATTTCTCACAATTCCAATTTTCAAATCGATTTCTCACAATTCCAATTTTTAAATCGATTCCTCACAATTCGAATTTTCCAAATGATTCCTCACAATTGCAATTTTGGATTTCCGATTCCTCACAATTCAATTTCAATACGATTTCTCACAATTCCAATTTTCAAATGATTTCTCACATTCCAATTTTCAAATCGATTCCTCACAATTCAATTTTCAAAACGATTCCTCACAATTCCAATTTTCTGATTTCTCACAATTAATTTTCGATTTCTCACAATATAATTTTCAATGATTCCTCACAATTAAACTTTTCTGATTTCTCACAATTAAAATTTTCGATTTCTCACAATTAATTTTCAATGATTCCTCACAATTAAATTTTCAAATTTTGATTCCTCACAATTCAATTTTCAACGATTCCTCACAATTACAATTTTGATTTCCATTTCTCACAATTCAATTTCAACGATTTCTCACAATTCCAATTTTGATTCCTCACAATTACAATTTTGGATTTCCGATTCCTCACAATTCCAATTTCGATACGATTTCTCACAATTCCATTTTTCAAAATGATTTCTCACAATTCGAATTGTCCAAATGATTCCTCACAATTCCAATTTCGAAACGATTTCTCACAATTCCAATTTTCAAAATATTTCTCAAAATTACAATTTTTTCCGATTTTTCACAATTCCAATTTTTTGATTCCTCACAATTCTAATTTTCGAAACGATTTCTCACAATTCCAATTTCAAAACGATTCCTCACAATTCTAATTTTCAAAACGATTTCTCACAATTCCATTTTTGGATTTCCGATTCCTCACAATTCCAATTTTCAAAGGATTTCTCACAATTCGAATTTTCCAAACGATTCCTCACAATTCTAATTTTCGAAACGATTTCTCACAATTCCAATTTTCAAAACGATTCCTCACAATTCTAATTTTCAAAACGATTTCTCACAATTCCATTTTTGGATTTCCGATTCCTCACAATTCCAATTTTCAAAGGATTTCTCACAATTCCAATTTTCAAAATGATTTCTCAAAATTCGAATTTTCCAAACGATTCCTCACAATTCGAATTTTTGAAACGATTTCTCACAATTCCAATTTTCAAAACGACTCCTCACAATTCTAATTTTCAAAACGATCACGCCAAACTACATTTAGCAACCTTGAGGATGCACAAGTTCCCTTGCTAAGTCGAAGAACACGCAGAATCACCAACTATCACTGATGAAGCGGCTTAATCATTAGGCGGACTGCATTGTCGTTTGCCCGTCATCCTTATTGGCTAGCAAAAACAACCTTGGAGTAGTTGCGTCGTACATTTCAGAGTCATTTTCAATTCCGCTACTTTTGGCTGATCACATGCCGGAACGGAAAAAACTCCTTCAGCGAATGTGGGCAAGGTTTCTTTCAATTTGGTGCATGCAAATGGCCTTCAGTGGTTGAACTTGTGAAATGGAGCAGTGCTGGCAAGCCAGAGCACCAGTACATTGACGCTGAGTGTAAACATCGGGATGGATCCTTGTTGGCCGGCCCTCTGGGTTTGCACCAGTATACAGAAGGGCCCTAAAAACCGTTTGGCTGTGTAGACATCTATCACAACCGATTCAAACTGTACCACTTTCATTAGCGCATGCAACCCAGCCCTTTTTCCTTGCTGCTCGTCATTTCCAGTGGAGATGAAATCTTGGTAGCCGGCAAACGGTGCCATGCTGCCAAGGCAAAACGCAATGCAGGTCGGTAATGGTCGTGCAAATTCGATTCGCTACAACGACACCATCTCAATCATTGCACCAATGGGCAAATGATCGGATGGATTCTCATCATTGGGATATCGTCGTCCCTTGCAAAACATTCCAGCAGCATCCAGGCTACCATCGGGATGTGCTTGCCATGTTTCATGAATGGCCAATCTTGTTTGTGGAATTTCATCAGAACCGTGAGCTGACTCATCTGTTGTTGTCGTGACGGTGGTCCATAAATAATCAATCACATCCCCACTGGTATAAGTGGATGCCTGCTTCCCTTGAGGTGGCTCGCAATCGCGGTAGGCATCTTGCAATGGCAAGTGAGAGATGAGCGATGATTCCGCAAGTTCCTGCAAGTTTTCTGGCGTTAATTGGTCCCTACTACTGGTAGAAACACGAGCAGCACTGTCATTATACTGCTCTGGTGGCAAGTATCCGTTTTGTAGCAAATGATAGAGGGGCGTATCCGGTGACATGTTGAAATCTCCCACTATAATCACCGGCAAGGATGATGATTCACCCTTGGGAGAGTATTGTCGGACAAACTTGCGGATGCGTTTCATGAGGGAATTGATTTGATAGAAACGTTGCATTTGATGATGCGCTCCCATACCGGCTTGAAGATGAACGTTGGCCACAATGAATCGTTGTGGATTATTGACATTGTCATTGTCATTGTCACGATTGTTGTTGAGTTCCAGTACGGCAATCACAGCTCTGGATCTGGATTCGACGGCCAAACAGGTAGCAAACTCCTTGCGGACCAAAATGGCATTGGCAATTGGTTTCTTTTTGACTTTTTGCAAGAGATACCAGTACGGATCATCATCTTCGTCATCACTGTTGATGCTGTTGTTTCCTTGCAGTTGTTCCAGATAGCGATACGAACTGCTATGATATCCCGTGCTTTGCCGTTGTCGTCCTGTTCTTTGCTGTGCGGCTCGTGCTTGCAAGGCTGGTTTCAAATCGGATTCCCACAAATCGACTTGCACTTCTTGCAAGCAAATGATATCTGGCAATAATGACGGAGGAGCGCACGCGGCAAAGAGGGTATCGACAATGCGCTGTTTTCGAAAGGTCCAATCCAAATGTTCCGGCAAAGACCAAGGATGTCGCCATGGAGGAGCGTACACGGGAGCCAGGACATTCCAACTCAACAACTGGAACAGTAGCTGTGGCGAGTCATGATGATGATTGTGATGATAGCGGATGGCCGTGTCCGAATCATAGTCGTACCCATTCTCCACTAGTCTGCGTTGTCCTGGAACTGTCGCAGCCGTTGCGGCTGCACCATGAGCGTACGTAGCGCTGGATAAAGCAGTTGACTCTTGCAGCAGCAGCAACAGAGTTATCGCCATCCACAAGAACAAGAAAGGCAATTCCATGGTGACTCCTAACCACAGGACCGTCTTCTCTGATGGGTTGGATTTGTGTTGTTGTGATGTCATTTATTTGTGGATTGGATGTGGATCAAACTAAAAGGGGGAAGAAGAAACCTCAAAGAAAAAACGCACCAAAGGCCACGTCACCCCAAAGGGAGACTGTGATTGGCTGGTTCCTTCAAAAGCCAGGTAGGCTGACCAATTACAAAGAGTCTGGTCTGCGATCCTTTGAGTTACACTTACCGTACGGTATGGTACCGTACTGTACCGCTGGTTGTGTCCACGGCAATTCCGAGTTTCTAAGTTTGCGCCTGACTTTGATGCGACTGTTGATCCTGCTCTTTTAGAACCTGAAATGTATGTGGCCATTGCCAGCTTTGATGATTATATTAATATAAACTTGGGCCCTGATGTCCAAACAAAACAAGTCCTTTCCCCCTCCCACATCAACGCTACTGTAATGGACGCCAGCTGACGCCCGTCGATTTCATACCGCCTTGTTTCCACCGAATGGGGCAAGTGGCACGATCTTTGTCTTGGCAAGTTTGGGTTGGTGGCTGTAGTCCTGGTGATAGGGAGCAAGTTCTTTCGTTTTTGTCTTGAATGTCAACGGCTTGTTGAGGACAACGCAATCATCATCGAGCGCTGGTTGACTATTTTCCTTTAGAGAGGAGGATCGGATAATTCTTGGAGAAGACTGGAGGAGAGCACTGTCTTTGTGCTGGGGAAAGAATTCCTTGTGGCTTGGAGCCTCCAGAATGTTCTTGATAGGGACGCAGCAAGACGTGTATTCGCGGGTGCTGCCTTTGTAGCGTAGGACATGGTGCATGCCCCAGAGATTGGCGTAAACGTCCAGGAGAAACATGCCACAATCTCCTCCGTCTGTCAATGGTACTTTTCCACTGGCGTGAGACTCGTCATTGTCATCATTGGGGTCAAAGGATTGGATGCACAAATCTTCTTCTAGGATCCCGCTATTTGCCTCTGTGCTGCTAATTTGACCAACAACGCGACCAAGTGCTCTACGACGCTGTGCTCCAAATCCGGCTAGAGTAGTGAAAAGCGTTGAGGACGAACCGTTCTGGCCGGGTGAGGGAGGAATTGAAATGGCTTCTTCTGGAAAAGTGGCGTTTTGCCCTCGGCTGACATTGAGAACTCGCGGCTCAATGCGGACTTCAGGACGAACTTCAAAGAGCATGGAGTCAGTAGCTCGGTCAATTGAGACGATCGTTCCAATTTCGACCTGGGCATGAACACCGTTGGCGTCCGGCTCATCCGAGTCAAACGCATACAACTTGCCACCAACTTGACCGACGCGGACAACGTTACCATCGGCATCGACGTAGTCGGCCAAATGGGCCACAGTAATACCGTAGTTCTTGTGGTACGCTTCATAGCAAAAGCCGAGGGTTGCGGCATTGCCATGTTCGTTCAATACGAAGAAACCGCCACAAAGTCTGCGGCTGTTGTTGGCAAGGCTCCGGACTTTCATGCCATTTGTGGCCGTTCTCCACTGCTCTTTTACTTGCTGGAAATTGATTTGAGGCGACGCGCAATTCGACATGGTTGTTGGGATTGGTGATATGAAAAGGTCTTGTTGTTGTCTACCGGTACCCTGGGTTTGGTTTTTGTCATTGCTGGTCGCTGCTCGGCTGCTCGGAGAATTGTGCTTCTGAACAGCGTTTTGGCGGGTTTCGACGGCACCGCGTTCCACGGGCACGATGACACGAGACGCACACTTTTACAGTCGTACCACTTTAGCACGACTTACTGAGCTCAAGGGACGCTTCAAACTATACTTCATTGAGAGCCTGATCTACTAGTCTATGCAAAGCTAGCTAGTGGAGGAAGGTATTGGCAAAGATTTGCAACCAGCCAAGGTTTCCAGTGGATGCAGACAGAATTCTTGTCACTAACTACCGATAGCTAGATTTGTCAGGCAGTGCTTCCATGGCCACACTTTGGCGACTTTGGATGTCAGGTTAGCTCAGAGTGTGAATGTTGGATACCCATCCTCTCTAGTGCCTCGCAGCTTTCCGCGGATAAATATCCGATCCGCAGGCTTATCCTCATTCCGCGGACCATCGGAGGCATCTTGCTGACGCTGGTCCTTCCTCTTTGAATGGCGACCATGGCCATCGAAGGATGCTCCAGCGGCCCCAAATGGTGACAACAGTGAGAGTAGACGATGTGTTGATAATACCGGTCGGTTATAGTAGCTGATTGTTATGGTTTTCATGTATAGTTTGTTGTTGTTTGTTGTTTTCGAGTGGACCGCGGATCATCAACTGGATATCAAGATAATGCCGCTTGGATAGAGATAACGCCACTCGGATAGATCCTCTCCTCTGTCCTCTCTTCAATGACTACCATGTTGACGGTCTTGACGTTCAAACTGCTCTCTGTGGATTTGAATACAAGTCTTTGTGTTGCCCCTCAAGCCGAGCTTAGGTATATTCTTCCGCAACGCGGCTTGATTGCTGCAGATTGGCACACCATGGTACGTTACTCTGTTGAGTGTCTTCTCTGTTCCGCGGCACCAGTAATGGGAGCACTCATTGCGTGTGTCGTATCCACAGACAATGCATCTTCGCTTTCCGGGCTTGTTCGAGGAGTCTTTGAACCGTTGTGGCACGGCGTCATGGTACAAGCACCTTCCTTGTTGGTCGTGGCCAAAAAAAAAATAACGAAGTTTTATTATTTAGGCTGCACCTCAATAGACCACCCGCTGAACGGAGCCATATTGAACCGGAGTACCTCAGACGTACAAGGACGCCCACATAGGAACCGGCCTAGTGCAAGCCCCCCACCGGAGAAGTTTAAAAACTCCGGAGGGTGCTTTGCAGCTAACTATCTACCTTGGCTGGATTGCCATCTATTTCTACGGCAGGACCCCTTCTGTGCGTAGTTACCTTGTGTCATTGTTCTGCATTGTGCGTGCATGCTCGTCCCTGAGTGCCTTGTCGACGACG